GATAGTGCTGCTGGGCCAGGGGCCCCCACGCTAATCTATGAAAGCTGCAGCAAGGGGCGCCACATGACGCACGGCGGGGGCCCCTCAGGGCCCTACGGGGCCCCCACGGCCCCACAAGGCCACGTGGGGCCGCGCAGCGCCACCGGGGCCCCTCAAAGCCATGTGGGGCCCCACAGGGCCCCCGGGGCCCCACAAAGCCACGTGGGGCCCCAGAGGGCCCTGTGGAGCCCCTGGGGAGTTCTGTGGGGCTGTACTAGCTGGGGCTGTTGCCCACATTTCGTGAGGCTCTTCAGATGGGGCCTTTTATGTCTCATCTCAGAGGCCCCCTTAGGGGGCTCCACGGCCAGGCAGCAAGAGTGCAGCATTATTCACTCCATATGATGATTTATATAAGTAAATATTAAACATTATCTCTATATGATGATGGTTCCTATAAATAAGTATTTTTAATGCTATTAAACATCAAAACTATCAACAGTAGAGCTCTAAAGTGCCTCTGTGGCTGCTTCTTTGCTTCGCTTGCTGCGGCGGCTGCAGCAGCGGCGCGAGCAGCTTCAAACTGCAACAACAATAAAATCTAGTTTGAAAATATAAAATCTAATTTGAAAATATAAATATGTTTTCATTTTTACTTTTTGTTGTGCACATATAATACTGCTAGGCTCCAGCGGCGCTAGAGCGCACGGCAGCAGCCAGCGAGGACCCGCAAAACCCAAGCGGAGGCACTTGGAAATATAAAAAGGAAAACTTGAATAACTCAAAAGACTAATAAATCTCTTCTACAGCAAACAAGGAAGAAGCCGCAGCTGTCCCTTTGCATTTGCCTCCTGCGCAGGCTCAAGGGGCCCCCGGCGAGACCCCTGAGGGGCCCCGAGGGGCCCCAGAGGGGCCCCCGAGGGGCCCCTGTGGGGCCCCTGTGGGGCCCCTGTGGGACCCCTGGGGGTAGCGAACCGCAGCCTTCTGCAGCGCAGACTGACTTCTAAATGTTTTTATTGTTTTTTGTGTTTTGCTGCTGAAGTTTTGAGGTTACAAGTGTCTAAACACTGCAGCAGTGGCCATGGGGCCCCCAGACCCCCAGAAGAGGCCCCACGGAGCGGGGGGCCCCCCTGCCTTTGAGTTGAGGCCCTTAGACCCAGCTGTGAGGGCTGCTTCTGCTGCTGCAGCAGCGCCTGCAGACGCAGCAGCAGCAGCAGCGAAGCCCCGTGGTAAGAAAAAGGGAGGTGACCCTGAGCGCCGTAAGCAATGCAGCATCCACGCTCTTATGAAACGCATCTCTCTCGAGTGCAAGTCTGCTGCTGCTGGCGGCGCTGCAGCAGCAGCAGCAGCAGGAGAACCCGCAACGTCAGCAGCAGCAGCAGCAGCAGCCAGGGAAGCATCCGACTCAGCAAATGCTTCCGGCTCCAGCGCTTCCCCTCCCTCCCAATCACCAGCAGCAGCAGCAGCAGCAACAGCAGCAGCAGCAGCAAAAGTGCCGGCTGAAAGCCCAGATGAAGTTTCTCTTTTCATGTTTGACTTCGGAGAGTGCGACGCCCAGCGCTGCAGCGGCCGCCGTTTGCTGCGGCACTGCAAACTCAACAAGATAACAGCTGCTGGCAGAGTGCAGTACGCGCAGCGGCTGGGTGGCCGCAGCAGCAGCAGCCGCAGCAGCAGCA